CCACCTGGTACAGACAAAGCTCAAGTGTACGACCTTCAAACTGAGTATGGAAGGCAATAAAGAACTCTACTAAAGCGAATATTAGATATAAGGATTTGAGGACCGGATTAGCCCACACTATCATATCTATTCCATGGATCGCCGGCAACATTGTTAGTATTACCAGCACTGGGCTTCGTTCGAGTGGGGTGTTCACTCCAGTAACTGCTCCCTTACACGACACTTACCTACCATTGCCATTTCCAGGGGCCTGAGGAAGGATCCAACTCGGCAGACAACCGGGTTCAGATCGTCGATTCCTCAGATGGCGTCAAATTCCCGTGGGTCCTCTTCTATCGGATTTCAATATCAGCCTCAGCTGCTGACATTGGCGTCTTAGATTCAAAGATCTCACAGGAGTCCTCCCCTCATATGAGGACCTAGAGAAAGATGGTTTCCCACTCTCTAAACTCTCGACCGAGGATCTCGGCCCAATCGGCGTTCTTCCGACTACCGCCTCACCGCCGGTCCTGGCAGCTCAAGCCAATTTCCTAGAAAACGGGCTTCTGCTAACAGTCGGTGTCCATCACGCGGCATGTGACGCGTCATCATTGGAAGACATCGTGAGCACTTGGGCTCACAACACCGAGGCGGCCGGCGGCTCCCTCTCCTTCATGGCGCACGATCCACTTTCAAGCGATCGCAGCCCACTTATGGAAAGAACGCCTGGAGCGAATATTGCCGATTTCCCTGAGTACAAGATCGATACGCAACCGCAGGCAGGTCCTCCGCCCGGCTTCCAATTCCCCGCTATGTCCTCGCGGGTCTTCCACTTCTCGCCCGAGTCGCTGGCAGGCCTCAAGGCTTCGGCTGCGGCGTTTTCCACCCACGACGCGCTCTGCGCCTTTCTATGGCGGCAAATGACGCTTGCCCGGCGGATCCCCGGGGTGTCACCCGACCCCCCGAGTAGTGAGGAGAGATCCGCCTTGGCCTTTGCTGTCAACATTCGCGGTCGCGCGAGCCCGCCTCTCCCGCCTACATACATGGGCAATGCTTCGATGCTCACGATTACGGATCGGCTTCCAGCTTCAGCCATCATCCTGGGAGATGGTCTTCCTCGCGCAGCAGCTGCGGTCCGAAACTCGTTGGGCGTGTTTGGTTCGCCGGCCCGGGTGCCGCTCACGATTGGGCTTCTCGCGTCCCGGCCGGACCCGACGGATTTCAGGTTGGCATACCATGCCTTCCTCGGGCCGGACGTGGTTGCGACGTCGTGGGCTGACCTGAAGGTCTACGAGAAAAGCTGGGGCGCCCTGGGGACCGTTGGTGCTTTCAGGGTCCCTGGTGAGGGTGCAGATGGCATGATTATGATACTCCCTAGATTGCGAGACGGGGGGCTGGAGGTAGTAGTCGGGCTAGAGCTCGGGGCAATGGAGAGACTCCTCGAGGCAGACGAATTTGCCAAGGCCACCGGGCGGTAGAGGCTGTCGTAGACATCCATCCGAGCATCTCTACCTGGAGAGTCTAGTTTGTGTAGCTATACACCTAGCTTTGTCTCTTTAGACCATGATATCCTGAGCGCCCCGCAAGCATCTCGTTTGTACCGCATTGGATTCCTAGCTTTCTAGAGCTACTATTAGGGGTCAACTCTGAGGTAGTGGCCCGCCGTCAAAGGGAAGTCTGTCATGAGAACTTTATAATATGTTCGCCGCTGAGCAGACAGGATGCCGTATGGACAATCTCGAGTCCTTTCAGAATAAATATTTCTTGGTCCTCTACTATCGTTTCCAGGGTTTGAACATGGGAGAATATTCGACAGCGAGACTTTAATTAAGTTAGGGTGAGAGGGATGAATGGATTATTGTAAGGTCCCTTTTCATTCCTATCTGGGGCTACCTTTTCTAAGCACTACTCCGCAGGTGTAGGAGTAGGTGTAGGAGTAGGCGTAGGAGCGCGAGGGTATTTATGTGGGTCGATTGAGGTATTATCACCAGAACAGCCAAGGAATTGGACCAGCATAAAGTTCCAATTTTGGTTGGTGGAGAAGCGCGTTTTGAATGTAAGGCATGTTTAGTCACGTGCGCATGCTTGACATTTACGGCGGTAAGCACGGTCTCATATTACATTCTGGATGGAGAGACGGGAACAGCGGGGTATGATCTTGAATCAGTATCAAAATCATGCTCTCCATCATCCTGAACTGCAACTCGCGTTATCACTGAAAAGACAATTTTCGTCATTTGAAGCACCCTATGTGAAATCCCAGTACCAAATTCGCGACTGGAACATCCTAAAACGGGCCAGCCCTGCCTGCGCGCGCAGACATAACCTCACGTCGTCACCGATACTCCCCACACCGACTTGACTTGGTCGAGAACAACTGTCGAGTCGTGATCGTAGTAGGCATGTCGCCTGGCGGGCCGGGGCCAAGTACAGCGGGGCCCCTTTCGCCTCCTCGCCTCCGGAGGAAACGGGCGCAGGTGGTGAGGGCCTGCGACTGGTGCCGGAAGCAGCGCATCAAGTGCGACAATGATCAACCCTGCCTCAACTGCAAGAACCGGGGTGGGGAGTGTAGTAACGAGGTCATCAGGGCGGCCACTCTGCCTCATAGCTACCGGGAGATAGATCGCCTGAGACGCCAGGTCCGGGACCTAGAACGCCAGCTTGAACAGGAACGTGCCAGGCCTACCACTACCACACACCATTGCCTCCCCTCGCCACCAAACCCAAGCTCATCCACACCCGGCTCGCTCCCAGATACCAGAATTGCCGATGAAAACCGTCAGCAGAGCTTCTGGCAGGGAGTACGCATTCATTCCGCCCGTTCGCCGCACGAGACCTGGTACGGTCCTTCGTCATTTTATGCCTTCCTCGGCCGCCTCGCCGACTTCTTGAACTCTACCTTCCCACAAACCGACCCCGCCCAGCAGATTCCGCGCCCCATATCCTCGAGCATTCTCTTTGACGAGGGCAACGGGTCATCTGAGAATACCTCGTGCCGTCTCCAAGCTCCCACGCCAGGATGCCCAAAGGCGAAGCCATCCTATCTGAGTCCTACGCAGGAAGAGTACTTCCTTGATCTCTTCTGGCAGTCTTATCACACATGTCTGTTTCCAATTATCAATGAAACCGAGTTTAAGAAGCACTATCAGTCGCTGTGGACTGCAAGCACAGCCGGCCACGGGCGAAAACCATCCGCGCTCGTCGATATCGTGCTCGCATTGTGTATGCAGCGCGGCATATCGATGCTGCCGCCTACGGGAAGGCAGACATCTGCGCCAGGCTTTGATGACTCCATTGCTGGCCGACAATATTTCCAGCGTTACCAAAGACTGATACAGTACGAGATGGAGAGCCCTACCATGTCGACACTCCAAAGCCATATTTTATGCTGCGTATACTTCTGCAACGCAACATTCATGAACATGGCTGATGAAGAATGTGCCCTTGCAGTGCGAATGGCCTATATGCTTGACCTCCATAGGGAACCATCACCAACCCTTCCTCGACATGAGCGGGAACTGCGGAAGCATATTTGGTGGTCACTCTACATAGTGGATACCAAGGTTGCGGTAAAGCTCGGCCGCCCGTCCCACATAACCGATACGGGACCTAGTTTGCCAAGTGACGGGCGTGACGCTGCAATGGAGTCGGGCTCCTACTTTGCCGCGCCTGGAGATGACTCTACTTGGCTTAGCTTCTCCCTGCACCAAATCAAGCTCCTCATAGCTGCTCGAGAAGCCCATACTGCCTTTTATGGCAATCCCTTGGATATCCGCGAGGGGGAAACGATCTGGGACAACCCATGTGCCTTGGAGGCACATGCTAAGTTCATGCAACCGTACGCCAATGCCCTGGAAGATTGGACGAAGGGCGTCCCCAGAACCCTCACAACGAAACGCCAAGGCAACGGCCAGCCATTCTCAACAGAGGACTCTGCCCTCGAAATCGAGCAGTTCGCGCCACTATGGCTCCAGCGCCAGCGCCTCCTCTTGGAGCTCGTATACCACAATCTGTCCATCTACCAATGGCGGCCGTTTATCACCTTTGCCTCCCCACCCGCGTCCACACCTGCGGAGCCAAGTCTTGCGAGGCAGATAGCCGTCAAGGCCGCTAGCCACGCCATCATCCTGACGAAGATCAGCCACCAGGTGATCTCGTCGACTTCAATTCTTACGGGTTGGGACGAGGTATTCCAGTGGCAGTGGAACGCCTCCGTCAGCCTCGTCGGCTTCGTTGCCGCGTACCCACACGACCCATCGACCCCGGCGGCAAGGAGTGCCATAGACCTCTCCGTGGCCGTTTTTGAACTTTTCTCCAAGTCCGGTACAGTGCCAGACGGCGCGGCTGATATCGTACGGAAGCTCTGCGCCAAGGTTGACTTCCTCGCGCAGGTGGCCCAAGGACCTACAGGAGCTCTGGACGACGGCGGCGGCTGGCCGGCGGGTAGTACCCCGGGACACTCAGTGGCCCCTGACGGGCTCGGTGACTCATTATTGGCGGGTAGTAGTATACCCGGGGCAGGCACGACGCCGGAGGCGCTGAATTTCAACCTGGACGACGTGACGGCCTCTAGTATACAGGACATGTTCCAGATGGCCGTGGCTGTCGATCAATGGGGCGGCCTGGACATGCTCTGGCCTCCCGTCGACATGTGGCCTGAAGAGTCACCTGTGGCACCGTCTGGTGCGTAGGAAGGAGTCGGAGATGGGTTAGCGTCGAGAGTTTACAACGTAGAATCCCGGCCCAAGCTCTTTCTTTCATTTTTGGATGTCGATAGCCGAAATTGCGGTTTCCGATGCCGCCTTTCACATAGGTCTGGAGATTAATACTGTGAAATATTTTTTTCGAGAAATAAAAACTTGAGCTGAACATGGAAGATGACTTAAAAAGCAGATGAATCTAATGATGGAGTTCCGGTCTCCAGGGTAAAACTCGACAGTGTTCACTGTATATTACTTTGTATTTCAAGGCCTGTGCTCTATCTTAGCGGCCGTTTCGGCGCTGACAGTGTATAAGCGATTGCGCTGATAGCTCAGCTGGGAGAGCGTCAGACTGAAGTCCTGAAGGTCCTTGGTTCAATCCCGAGTCGGCGCAGTTCATTTCTTTTTGCAATTTCCCCCGAGAATGCATGTTTATTCCATACATAAATGCACTTCTCCTTATATTTTTTTCCCTTCATTTCCTTAGTATTTACAATAAACTAAGCTGTCTGTACCATCTCATCGCTGAAGGTCGAACCTCCTCTAACTGTGGGTAGAACACTCCCATCGCTTTCCTGTCGTGATGCTTGTATTGAGCACGACCTCACACTGTCAGCTGATTGGTTCGGTGGTGTAGTTGGTTATCACGCTTGCCTCACATCCAAAAGATGTTAGGTCGCAAGAGGTCTCCAGTTCGAACCCGGGCCGAATCAAGCTCTTTTTAACCTGTTCCCCCTCCTGTTTACTTTTTGCCTTTCTATTTTGTTTATACGGGTTACCCTCCAACGAGCTGCTTGCCCTATGGCTTCACAGCTCCCTAGATTCATGAAACATTTTCCCCTTTCTTAGGTACATCTTGGCTCAGTGGGACTGGCTTGAACGCCACTAGGAAGGAGTATACATGGTCAGACAACTTCCCGGACTGCTATACTAGGCCACTGGGGCAATATTAATGAACTTCCACACGACCGAATTGAGAGAATGTACCATGTTCAACAGCTGGTTGGATCTACATCGAGCCGAGAAGACATCAGTCATAGGCATGATAGGTACCGCCCGTTAAACAAACATATTACATGGCGCTTATCAATGGTCATATTTCCAATTGTTATCAACCAAGTAGAATTGTAACAGTTTGGTGCCGTTAACTCCCCTTCTCCAACTTCACTATTTCCCCACCGATATCGTCACCTCTAGTGTGATTGGCCAAGATGGCACGGAGGCTCATCTCCCGTGTTTCCAGGTGTCGATGACGCGTGAGGGGAGTATCCCGTCCAATGACTGCTTCTATATTCTGGTAACTAGTTCGACGCACAAGTCCTGGAGGCGGGGCAAACGCGCATCCACAGTGGCCCCTCCCCCCTCAAGCGATGTCCTAACCTTAACGTCTTGATGGCTAGAGCTGCGGAGATGCCCAGGGAAGTGGCGGGCTCTGCATAAACTTGCCTGTTCAGGAACATCCGTGTGGGGCGTTACTAAACAGGGATTCCCTCGGACCCAATGGTCCCGGCTGAGGTCAAGATAATAAGGCATTAGTGCTGCAATGGCATGGTCTACTCTGTACACGAGTATTGTTTGTGTATCAAAACCACCCGCCCCCCCCCAAAAAAAGTGTGGTCATCTTGCGTCTTCGTCCACTCTCCAACTTACTCACCTTTCTTTATTTCCCCCAATATTCACACCCGCAAGAGGCCATGGCCCAGAAGCAACACAACCTCACCGCCTGGTCCTGGCGCGCAGGCACCACCAATGGCATCCCCCAAGCCGACCCACTCAAGTCCTGGACTCCTGTTACTGCATTTCCCTCCGTGATTCAAATGGAGCTCCTTGCCCATAAACTCATCCCAGACCCCAATATTGGTGAGAATGAGCGGCAGATCCAGTGGGTCAGCGACGTCGACTGGGAGTATTCCGCCACCTTCTCCAGCCCCCCCGAGGCCGCATCCGACGAGGACGTCGAGTGCGATTTGGTGTTCGAGGGGCTGGATACAATCGCGACGGTTACCTTGAACGGGACGGAGATATTGAAAAGCGATAACATGTTTATTCCCGCGCGCGTGGGTGTTAAGGGACTTCTCAGGCCTCTCGGGGAGGACAATGAGCTGCATATTACGTTTGAGAGTATTACGAAGGTGGCGCGCGGGCTTGAAGAGAAGTTCGGTGCTAGGACGAGTATGATGAGGGATAAGAAGCGGATGCACGTTCGAAAGGCTCAGGTGAGACCCTACCGCCATCTATGCGTTTCGGTGTCTCCGTAGCGCAGGTTGAAATTGACTGAGTTTAGTATCAATGGGGATGGGACTGGGGCCCGATTGTCCTCACTGCGGGCCCGTATCTACCCGTGTACCTGGAGACGTACACGTCTCGTCTTCAAAATGTGCACGTCAGGACTACACAGACTGATGATCACTCATCTGCCCAAGTCACCATCCATTTTGACGTCGTCAACTTGAAGCATGACTCGTCCACCAAAATCTCCATCATAGACTCCACATCTGCCGAAGTCGCCTCCACCATTGTCAACATCTCTGATACTAAGGGCACCGCTACTCTCGAAGTACCATCCCCGAAGCTGTGGTGGCCTAACGGCCAGGGCTCACCGCACGTATACACGGCAAGCCTCACCCTCCTATCCCCGTCCTCCACTCCATATGACATGTCCAGTACCCGCTTCGGCATCCGGACCATCGAGCTCATCCAACGGCCACTGGCCAACGCTCCGGGAACGACCTTCATATTCCGCGTGAACGGCCGTGACATATTCTGCCAGGGCGGTAACTGGATCCCCGCCGACAACCTCCTGCCCACCATCACCAAAAAGCGGTACCAGGACTGGATGGAGCTGGCACGGTTCAACCACCTGAATATGATACGGGTGTGGGGTGGCGGCATCTACGAGAACGAGGACTTCTTCGACGCCTGCGATGACAACGGGCTGTTGGTGTGGGTTGATTATGCATTTGCGTGCGGGGACTACCCGACGCACGACGCCTTCATCGAGAACGTGAGGGCTGAGGCAGAGGTGCAGACGGCGAGGATGAGGAATCACCCTTCTCTTGCGCTGCTGTGCGGCGGAAATGAAGACTTCATGCTGGCAGACTTTGATAAGTACGTCCCCTCAACAGTTGCCCTTCTACCCTCCCAGTCCCGAACACTTAGTCTCACCATTTGGCAAGTCATTGAATGGAGAACTGAACGCAATTAGGGTTGAATACGACCATTCCGATCTAACCGGCCCCTTCGACGACAAGCCCTTTCCCCAGCGTAAAATCTACCTGAGCCTACTCCCTCCAATCGCTGCCCGCCTTTGTCCAGACGTCCCCTACTGGGCCAACTCCCCCTATGGGGGCCCCATCGCCAACGATCCCACCATCGGCGACGTCCATGCGTGGTCCGTCTGGCACCAAGAGCAGCTGCCCTACCAATCCTACCAATCCATCTCTGGACGCTTCGTCTCGGAGTTCGGCATGCATGGCTTCCCAGTAACCCGCACTATCTCTTACTTCACGCAAGACGCCAACCCCTCCGAGCTCCACCCGCAGTCGAGACTCATAGACTGCCACAACAAGGGGCACGGCGCCCACACGCGCATCGCACGGTATCTAGCCGAGAACTTCCGCTTCGACATGTCGTCCCTGGATAACTTTGTGTACTCCTCGCAGCTTATGCAGTCCGAGGCCTACGGGTACGCTTTGAGGGGGTGGAAGAGGCTTTTCAACGGCGAGGGGGACGAGCGGTGTGCAGGTGCGGTGATATGGCAGCTGAATGACGTGTATCCCGTCACGTCGTGGTCGTATGTGGACTACTTCCTGCAGCCGAAGCCCGCGTTTTATACCATTAGGCGGGAGTTCGCACCGGTTAGTATTGGGGTGGAGAGGACGCCTGATACGAGATGGGTCGACGAGGATAAGCCCCCCGTGTCATATATTCCCTCTTTCGAGGTATTTGCTCATAACACAGGCGTTCAGGATGTGGAGTGCGAACTCATCTTGCAGGCGTACGACTTCGCGAGCGGGAGGTATACCGAGTTGGCGGGAGAAGATGGAAAGAGAGCCGTGACTCTCAAGGCGGGCCGGAACACGGAACTAGGCGCGTTGAAATCACAGTGTGCCTGGAGGGAAGACAGCCTGGTCATACTCGAAGCCCGAATCCTCTCCGAGGGCAAAGAGCTGGCCAGGTTCGTCGACTGGCCGGAGCCGTACAGATATCTGTACTGGCCAGCCTCCACGTCCATCTCACTCACTGTAGTAGAGGGCGAGGGTGAGTGGGAGAACGTGGTGGTGGCTAGCTCTGACCAGCCGATTAAGGGGTTGTGGGTCGAGGCAGTGTACAACGGGACGGAGGGGGTCGGGGATCCAGAGCCGCTGTGGGAGGATAACATGGTGGACTTGATGCCCGGACAGGAGAGAAGGATGGGGGTTAGAGGTTTGAAGGGGCGGGGTGTCCACGGAAGATTTTTGGCCGATTGGGAGGTGAAGACGTAGGTTAGGCGAGGACCGATGTGGCCGAAGCATATATAGAGGGTTTAGCTTACGGCTCAGGAGACGTGATATAAATTATGGCTCTCTCCCACCTAGTGGACTGTGAGATCGGCCAATCTAATGTCCTTCTCGATGAGAAAACAACGATGTTCTGTGACACATGCTACTGTAAAGCAATATATATCAATTAATGTCTTGTTATAACAAAGGGCCAATGGGACTGGTGCGATCGACTCATAGAACCCTCTTAGCTCGGTAGCTCCGTCGGGTTCCCTTCGTATTGTGTCAGTTCTCCCACGCTCAAGTCCTGTTTGAACCGACGAGAGTGGTGAATATACATATGACAACCATGCACCCTCCCGACATGTAGAAAACAAGATGCTTCACTCTGTATCTTCCTCGCCCCTACTGTTCCGTACCACAATTTCCACGGCATCCTCGACGAAAAGTCTACAGCCGTCAAGGACTCGTCCCGTCCCAGCATATCGCCATCCCCTCGGATCGATACTTCGAAATCATCGCCCAACAAATACTGCCCATTGAGTCCCTCTTGCATATGCACGTTGGGTTCCGACGCGACTATGAGACCTGCCAGTCTACCTGACTTCAATGTTCTAGGACGCGTTCTGCGATGGTCTTGATTGGCCCGGCCCACATGGCCACGCACGCCAGGTGCTTTCGAATGGCGTGCCGAAGGAGAGTGGAGGACTTTGGCTGCACTTCCCGCAATAGACCGAGAGAAGATGGGGGGAAAAGGCGGGGCAAGACCGCATTGGGAACTCTGGGACGTGGGTCTGGACCCAGAAACCAATACCGAGCAACCCAGACATGGGACCAAGTGGGGACGTAGTGGAGCTTCACTTTTCAATCGATGGTCTTGCTTCTCCCCCGATTGGCTGCGTCCCTGAATGCG